ATTTATAAGGGACATACCCCCAGGTAAACCTAAAAGTACAAACAAAGAGAATATTTAATGAAATATTCCCTCAAAATAGTCGTTACTGCTCCTTCTGACACTTGACCTCGGTCATGATCGACTGCTCGGCGGTGAGTTCCATTGATTATTAGTCGACATCGGCCAAATTACTTTCAGTAACACCACTTTATGTCGAATATCCTTAATCGGATTTTGACCCAGACAACTATCACATTTTATATGGCATGATTCAGATTTCGAAAGTCAATCTTTTTAAATTTGACTATAAATTCGAACATAGAATCTTTAAATTTTTTGAAATAAAATTTATATATTTATAAACTTCATAAAATACTATAATTTACAGTAGTTAACATTCTTTTTTATTTTTGTGTAGGAAATTTACTAATTAATACAGGTCAAAACGAAATATATTCCGTATTGATACACGAGGCAAGACTCTTTCCCACCAAATTTGATATATAAAATATATAAAGTTGAATTTACTCCTATATCAGGGATGAAGATGGCAAAAGATATCAATATGAGAAACTTTAGAAGCCTTTCTTAGTGAAAATCTCAATAAAATAGTTGCAAAATCATAAAATTTAGAATAAACTTCAAAGAGTCACAAAAGTAACTCTTCTTTCACATACAGATTATAAATAAATTACTTAATAATACTTTCTATAACATCAAAATAATTTTCTTTATGTAGTCATATTGTTCTACTCATATAAAAGTTAAGTATTACTTCATATAATAGATTGTAAATCTTTTAATACGGCGAAAGCAACCATAACCCAGGGGCAACCCATCCATAAAACAGGTAAAGCAACTGCTTTAGGCCCTACTTTTGTGGAGGTTCCATTTTTTTTTTACACCTAATAGGCTATATATAAATTTTTAAATTTTTTTTATGTGAAATGATTTTTTTTTTTGATTTCTTTATTTAACAAATAAGGAGATGAAGGATTTGCAACTGCTTTGATTTCTGCCAAGAAAATTGCATTTGAAATTAATATCGAACCCGAATTTCATAAGAAACGTGTAATATATAGGAAGAAACAATTTGAGAAGAATATTAATAATGAAATCTCAAAATCTCTCGAAGAGTTCTTTATAGTTCATTACTTTTTATACATACTCCCTCTGGTCCATAATAAATGACTTTTTAACCTTTGTTGTGCCCCTTAAGAAAATACTGACCCCTAGAACAAAAATGTATTTTGACTAAATTATCCTTAATTAAAATTTATATGCTGTTAACTTGGCATATTGAGATATGTAAATAAGGGCAAATTTTGAAAAAATAAAGTTAATTCCTTCTCGATTATATAAAAGGACACTTATTTTGGACCAAAATAAAAGCCAAAAAAGTCATTTATTATGGACCGGAGAGAGTAGTAGACAAGGTTATTTTTTCACTTTAAAATAGATTTGAACAATTTGAGGCATATGAAAATATTTTTGATTTTCTATTTAGCGGTAAAAACTGAGATCACTTTGAAAAAAGATTGCTTCATCTTGAATGCTCCTTAAATCATAATAATCAACCCGATATTGATAGTTTAGACTTATTTTTTGTTAAAAATATTTTAAAAAATAGTAATTAGAAGATAACAATTTAATTGATATACTCAATCAAATAAAAAGATTTGATTATTTTCCAAATGCCCATATTACTTATAGAATAATGTTAATAACTCCTATTACCGTTGCTCCAGCGGAAAAAAAGTGTTTCAAAATTAAAATTGATAAAACATTACTTAAGATCAAAATTGTCTCAAAGATATTAAACAAATTAGCTATATTGTCAATTGAGAAAGACTTATTAAGAAATATTGTTATAAAAATTTAATAATAACTTTGCATCTAAAAAAAGTTAAAAAAAAATAGGTCCCTCGTATAGTTTGGCTTTAGGCCACGAAATTGGTCGGGCCGGGCCGCCCTGCCATAACCTCTAAATTTGTTCGACTATTTTAAAGAGCAGCACAAACTACTTGCAACATAAGATGAAAATATTTTGGGATGCAGCCTATAGTTTATATCCAAAGAACAAGGAATATACTTTTTTGATAAAGATAAAGAACACGGACTTTTGCTATATTTTTTTATAAAACCAAATAAAGGTGGGGCCATAAGGTAGCAAGAAGTAGAAGAAAAACACAAAAAATCATGTATTAGATGAATATAAAGGTTAATCCACAGCATTAATTATATATATAGAGCTTGATATTACCGCAGGAGCCGGAGATGGTGCCTTATTACAAGCTTTGGACAAATCTTTTCAAAGGGAGCTTATCAAAGAATCAAGATCTGGCTTGTTTTTATACAAATATTCTACCACATCCATATCAAAATAGTCCATAAACGAAGAGAAATAATTGTTTCAAGAACGTAATATTATTTTCTTCTTACTCAAGAAAGTACCACATATTACCTAATTACAAGACAAGAGAGCATCAAAATTACTAAGTGATGTGTATCAGCTTCTAATGAGAAATGACATTGTAGTCTCTTCATTTGCACTGCAGTAATCGTGGGGGGGAGTAGGAAAAGTTGGAGCAATAAATATTTTGAGACGTTTTTATTTCTTCTAGTTTTACTTTCTATACTTGTCCATTTTTGGTTATTTTATTAAATGTATACTTATATTTTTGTACAAAGAAATAATACTTGTTTGAAAGACAAAATAGTCATTTAGTTTTTGTTGGATATTTTGGTCTTTCAACTTGAAGCTTCGCACTATAATATAGTATGATATGATGATTATTAATTTCAGCCATCTTTATGTAATTACTGCTTCACCAAATTAATGAGATTTTAATTACTTAATTATAAAGCCAATTGATACCGCAACGTTTTCTCTTGCCCTTACTTCAACTTATTCTTTTCTTACAAAAGTTAACTTATTTTCTGCTACGAACTCTTTTAGTCGCTGAGTAAACTCCAATACTTGTTTCCCAAACACAAAAAATATTTAGATAGTTATTGATATTTGGAAAGTCCTACTATCTTTTTTTCAAACGAGTTTGTCAGAATATATGCCGGACATTTTGGAAACTTTAAATGAGCAAGCACTACCATTTTACGGAAAGAAATTCAAACGAAATACTACGTGCTTTAAATAGTATCCTTTTTAAGAAACCTACCTTAAGGAGCCTTGTTTAGTTTTTTTATAGCTTTGTTTAGTTCGTAAAAATCACCTTTAGGAGAATGGACACGTTGCTGCCTTAACCGCAAGTCCAGACAGTTATTCTCTCCGTTCCAATTTACGTGAACCTGTTTGATTGGGCATAGAGTTTAAGAAAAAACGAATACTTTTGTAATTTGTGATCCTAAATAAGTCAAAAAAGGACCCAGAGAATTTATATGGTTATAAAAGCTTTTCATTAATGATAGAATTAAAAGTTTAAGCTAAACTGTTTCCAAATTTAAAAAATTATTATTTTTATTCAAAAAAGAAATAAATTTACATAAATTGAAACGGAACGCCGTACAAAAGATAAACAGGGGAAGAGAATGTACTACGTGTCTTCTAATAATGCAAATATTGTTCGCACTAACTTAGATGCTCCTTTATCCTATTCTCTTCTTTGGCTAGTATAAAAGTGATTTTGGTTGATATTTTTAACCATAATATTTTTTATTTAGTATTACAAAATTGCTTTAATAAGATTCTTTTCCATTTCTAATCTTTAAGTTTATTTAACAAAATAAATTTCTATCCATTTAATTTAAGTTAATTTAAATTTTTACCGAATTAAATCCATAAAAACTAGTGAAAGCCAGTAATCTAATTAACAGGAGAAAAAATTTAAACGAGAAGGTCGTTATTATTCCGTTGTTAAGCAATCATTAGTTAGAATTGTCCTTACATCATCTCCAACCCTAACATCAAATTTCACACCAAAATAGTGTAACACCAAATTTACCCCAACCATTACACTATTTTTTACACCAAAAAAATAATATTTCTTCTCTCTTTTCTATATTATATTATTATCTTCTATTTAAATTTTATTTTTTATTTCCTTCAAACAAATACTATCTTTTTTCTTTTCTCCATATTTATTATATATAATTCACATTCACCACTTATATAATCATTTATTACAAAATTATTTTAAAGGATAAATCAACTAAATGTGACATCATTGATAAAAGATAATTAAATAAATATTACATCATAATCAAATTTAATTTAAGTACCACATAAATATTCAACTTTCGCGATGGAAAAGGCAAGTAACTCAAGAAATGAAGCTTCGAGACAAAAAGAATACAAAGAAGAAAATAAAATTTTATTGACGAACTTGAATTCTATTGACGATCCAAATCTTCGTGAATTTTTGCGACAAGAACAAAAACAAATAATCGATAAAAGAAGTCAACAATTTCAACAACCACAAGCACAACAATCTTCTACCACGTTCTCTCAGTATTTTGGTAATTTTGTGCACCTGGAAGGCTGGAAATGACATAGGGAATTACTAAACTTATGTTTTATGTTTTTTAATGTAATTTCAATTTTAATGTATCCTCCTTTGATGTACTTTAATTATAATGTATTTTAATTTTATGTATTGTTAATTTTTTTTAAAAATTTTAGTTTTCACTTTTCAATTTAGCAACATTAGATATCTTACATTTGCATTTTTTATTTTTAAATAATAGTTATATTTCTTTGTATACAATTATAATAATAATAATAATAATAAAATTAACTTATAATTTTATATAAATATAATATATATACAAAAATTAATATATCAAAAAAAAATTAAAACTATAAAGATTTAATATAAAAATTAATTATATACATAATATATAATAAATTAAAAGTCCAAAAAAATAAAAAAAATAAATAAAATAATAATAAATTAAATTTGGTGTGATGGTGCAATACTATTCATACACTATAATAGCTTAAGACTTGGTATTTCATTGGAGCGAAAAAACACCAAATTTGGAGATGCCCTTATAATATCCACAAATTCTCTTTCGCCTTGTTATAAGCAGAGCCCTTTTCCCCTCTCCTTTACCGGCTCTCCGTGTCGATCACAAAGGCTTTTCTTCATCTTCAACCTCCAGCTACTACCCAGCTAAAATGCCGCCCTCTAAAGGCAAAGGAAATGGGAAAAAGAAAGGAAAAGGGAAAGGGAGCTCCAAGAAAACAAAAAATACACTTTCAGACCCAACATCCAGCTGCATTTTCCCTAGAGAAATCATCTCCAATATCCTTTCTCGTCTCCCTGTGAAGACCCTTTTACGATTCAGGTGTGTTTGCAAGCCATGGCAGAAGCTCATTTCCAAACCCAACTTCATAGCCACCCATTTCCGCCATTCCTCTTCTTTGCCGAGTGCCCCCTGTACTTCACCCATTTTTATACATACTCGCCATTTCAAGTCCTTTGATCATGTCCTCTCGCTATTTGACCCGCACCCTGAATCATCACCAGTTGTGGAACTGGATAGCCCTTTTCCTTCCTACTTTCAGGATATGTTGGTTGTGGGTTGTTGCAATGGCATTGTATGCCTTTCTCAGCCACCTTGGGGTGAGATGATTACTCTTTGGAACCCAGCTATGAGGCAGTATAGGACGATAAAGCTTTCAAAGACCAAACCCCTTATGGGAATTCACTCTTGTGTTTCCGTAGGGTTGGCTTATGATTCTCAAGAGAATGATTTCTTGATCTTGAGTCTCTTGTGTTTCAGACCAGCTGAAACTAGAGCTCCGGATGAAATGGAAATGTGTTCGACTAAGAGTTTCAGCTGGAAGAAGCTGAAAAATGAGGTGGGCTTTCGTGTTCTTGGGCTTATTTGCAATGTGATCATTAAAGGGGTACCTTATTGGAGAGCCATAGTAGAGGATGCGCATGGATCTCGTGAGGTGTTGGTGTATTTTGATGTGAGTAAGAAAGTATTTGACAAGTTACCTACGCCGGGAATAAGAGTGGGGACTAAGGGGTATCTTGTGAATTTAGAGGATTCTCTTGGTATGTTAATATGGGAGAAAACAGACAAATATAATGTTAATGTTTGGGTAATGGATGATGAAGATGGTTGGAGCAAGAAATGCAATGTTGGAATAACATTTGGTTTTGACAGAACATTGGGCTGTTTGAGGAATGGTGACATTGTAGTCGAGGATGAAAACGGGGTGCTGTTGTTTGATCCAGTGACTAGTTCAGTAAAGGCAAAATTCAGCATTGAGAATGCTAAGAAGGGCTCGTATGTGATTTTTGACTATTCAGAGAGCCTAGTTCTGATTGGAGGGATGCTACCAGTTAAGAAGGAAGCTGCTGAAGACAAATTAGCACGCGAATACCTCCTAAAGTACGGTGATCAACTTTTGTCTATATTTTAAGTTACTTCCTATTTGAGATGTTGTCCTTTGTTTTGTTCTTATCATGTGCATATGTTTAACCGACTGTGAACCTATGATGGGTTAATTTACTGTGTGAACTTACTCTATGATTTATTTACTTTATTCTATGCAATTAGTGGAGATGCTTATGAGTTGCTGCTGTGGTTTTGGAAAGCGCTTATGTCCAACTAAGAAGTTTTTCTTTCTGTCTTCCATCTGATAAATTGTGCTCTTGTAGTAATTTCATGGTGTGAAATCAGTTACAACATGAATTTCTGTCACTGCATGCAATTCTCTTATTTCCCCAGATAACTTTTCTTTTACATAAGATTAGCTTATATTATAATTCAAATATGTCATGAAGTGTCACTTTTGCCCTGCCTTGGTTTCCATTTAGCCTCTTTCAATTGCATTGGTTTCGAAGAGTTCTATTGATGTTGCAGACGAACTTACTATCATGCAAAAGAAAAACAGATTAAGAGAACTATATTTCCTCTCTTGGCCTCTTTAGCTTTTCAGCTTGAATTTGGATCCATTATGGAAAGTGTAAATACTAAGAAAAGAGTAACGGAAAACAAGAAATCCACGATTAGGTCATTTTTTTCACACAAATGTGTGTGCTTATCTTCTTGTTATTGAAAATTTCTCACAGTTTTGATTCCTGTGACAGAATGAGTAGTAAGAGGAGACGGTATTTGCAGCTATTCGTTTGAAGCATCATGAATATCTGGAAAAAGCTACTCTCTTTATGTCCCCATATTTTTGGTGTTACCTTTATACAAGTGCCTGTGTAAAGATAATTCTATGTCTTCTTTCTTTATCTAGAATAAATGTGCTTCCTTTTCTTTGTTATATGGAAGTGGGTTGAAGCTATTTTCTCCCTTTCATGTCTTGCATAGTGGGCATTGTTTGAAAAAGAAGTAGGCTTGGCTTCAAAGATGCATCGTGTGTGTCTAGAGTGTTTCCAGAAGATCCTCCCAACTTCCCTGTTCACCCCATTTATTTTCTAACAATATAAAATCTTCCCTTTTGTCAGTAGAAACATTTTAAATGATCAGAGAAACATTTCAGCTTTTGTAGTATTTTCTTGTTGGAGCATCAGTTGTGTTGAGGTCAATAACCAATGATTTCATTATGAAGAGACAATTAGGTCAATAGACGTAGTAATATGATTGCTAGATCCTTGAAGTTTTATATCTATATGCTGATATAAAATTTTCTATTTACTGATGCTATAGGACTCTGAGGCATCTGGTTCCATAAGCATTCTAACCATTATGTACGTGTAAGAAAGAGCAGGAAAACATAGTTTCTCTGAAATAATGCATTTGGATTGCCGGATTGCACTAATTAACAGAACCAAGGCTTCAAAAGAAAACTAATAGAATCATGTCCTGTCAGGGATTTGCAACAATTCTGTTACCTTTTTAGTTAATTGCAGAGCTGTTGCGTTTTCAAATGTTCTTTTTCTTGTTTTAGGTTAAGTGTTTTAAAAAAAATCCTCATTTCCTCATTTATGAACTTTATACTTGTATATTCAAGTATGGATGTTAGTATGATAGATATTAATGTTGATGAACTAAAGCTTATGTTCAATGAAAGGCTTAGCTACTGGTGGAGTATGAGACATCCATATCTTAACTTTTCAATGCTCCAAGATATAGCTTCAGTTGACAGTCAGCATAAGAAGTCCTCTATTCATATGAAACAATTTCCTTTTCATTTAATTATTTTCTAATTCAAGTTGTTCTCTTTGGGCTTTCTCAGCTTGAATTTCCAGCTTCGTTTTCCCATAGCTTATAAGCTCCTTGGTTGACTTGTGTCTTGCAATCTTCAATAAATGAATTCACTTGTCATAACTTTCAGATCTTATTCTAGACATAACATTCCTAGTTATTTGGTGCATGGTTTGAGGAGCATGTTTGGAGTAGAAATAAGTAGCGGCATGGACTGTAACAGAGGTGCTTCTGTTGGAAATATGATTTTGATTTTCTAGAAATTAAGTTTTAGGTTTATGTATTAGCATTACCAATGGGATGCTTACAATTTCCAGGTACATTATCTTTTAGTATGACATAGGTTCATTTTTATGTTTCAAGGTGATCAAGAAAAGTATTTAGTAGATGTGAATCCAGTGGTCCACTTTGGCACCTATAAAACCCCTTAGTTGATGTTGTTATGTAATAGTGAAGTAGTTAAATAGTATCAAGAGAGTTCTTTATCTCCATCTTCCATTCTCTTTGTGCCTTGTGATATCTCATCAAGAGCTTAGCTTATATTTCAACAGCTACTAGTATGGAAATTCAGAAGGACAATGAGAGCATGCGAAGGACTTCCATTGGTGTTAATGTGGACACTACATAAAAACAGAAATAGGAGAGCATTTGAAAGAGTAGAAAAATCTTTGGTAGTATAGTTTAGTGGAACATTTTTGTCTCTGTCTATCTTTGGAGTAATTTTGATATTTAACTAGTGCTGATGAATGGATGCTATTTGGTGGGAAGCATGCTTTGTTGTAAGATGCTCTACCTGTTGTATATACCTTGTATGCGGGATTTCTCTCTCAAATCAATATAATTTTAACTTGATAAGAAAAGATAAACTCAGAGAAGATTACTGACATTCCTTTTCTTGATAATGCAGGGCTGGCATAAATATGAAGGTCTTTACCACTAAGAACCCTCAGCAGGCTGCCTTTGCTACTAGTATTGCATGAATGACATTTTGGCTGCCCCTTTTTTTTGCTAACATCGGAGATGACATGAAAAACTTTCTGACATCCTTTTAGTTAGGAAATACTAGCAATGTATGTAGTTCCTGGTCCCTCTCATTTTTATATTAAACAGTATAATTCATCTCCATTACTTTGTTGATCAGATTGTCAACTAGTATCTATTGCACATTGCGCTGATCAACTAGTACTTGATTAAGCAACAGTGGGTTCGTGTTTGCTTTTCTTGCATCTGCTTCATAACATCTTTCAGCGTGTTCCCTATGAGTGTTTTCTCATCTTTCTGCATTTTCCCTATTGACTGATTTCTTCAATCAATCCTTGTTCCTTCCCTCAAAATTTTCTTTTTTTGGTTCATAATTCTTTGACTATGGTTAAACTATACTTCTCTGAGTCATGAAAAAACCCTGTTACACGCAACATTTTAACAGTTAGAAGGTTCTGTAAAGCTTGTCATTGATGTTATCACAAAGTTTTTGTTCTTTTTTGCCAGTATGCGAACGAACGTCCTTATCTTTTTTCTCCAGTCTTATTACAATTTCAGCAATTCTCCAGTCCTTTTTTATTTACCCCAAAAAAGAAAAGAAAAAAACTGTATGGACAGCCAAATATAATATACTGTTAATTTGTCCTCTTGACAATGTTCGGAAGTAACATTGGGTCTACAAGTTCGTGTTTGGTTAATCATATAGTATATTCTTCTTTTATCTTAAATCTCCACCACCCTCTTACTTCCAGGCAAGAATCATCAAAGATAGTATATTTTTTTGTTTAACCATCTGGTATTTAGAATTAGATTTGTGCGAGGTAGTTCCATTAAGGGAGTATAGCGCACCCAACAAAGAAGTTCTTCATTTCAGGGTTTGAACTCGAAACATTTGGTTAAGAATAGTAAAATTTCAAAATTCCAATTCTCATGCCACATTTTTCGGAGATATAGAGCTAAATATTGTATGTTACTAATTAAAAGAAATTATACTTGAAGGAGAAGTAAGTGTTGGTATTTAGAACCATAGTGATTTTAGCTGTTGTTATTATGGACTCCTTTATAATACTTGCTTTACAGAACACAAATATTTGGTGTTATAAATAATATTAAGAGTGAATGGCCATATATTATGAAATTACTTAGGACCAAGTTAGTTAGTCATGAGCTAGTCTAGTTACTTGGTCACCAAGATTTATTACTTGACGACCAAGATAAGTTACTTGGTCTTTCTTATAAATAGGAGCCTTCTTTGGTCATTTGGATGAAATTATCAATAAAAGTTTATTAATTATCTTATTTTCAAAAGAGTTTGTCAGAAAATAAATGACCAAGCAGGCAAGCACTACTACTTTTACGAAAACAAAGTATACGTGCTTTAAATAGAGGAGTAATCCTTTTTAAGGAGCCTTATGTAGTTCTTAAAATTACTTTTAGGAAAATGGACACGTGACTGCCTTGTTACTGCAGACACAATAGACAATAGGGGAAGCGAATGTACTAGTTGTTTTCGGGTCGAGACAGAGACTGCAAAAGTCATTTTATTATTTTACTAGAACTATGTAAATCTTCAGTTAATTATTTACATAGAGGAGCCAAAAATTAAATTATATACGAGAAATAAGTTTGTTCGAAGTTATGTTTTTTTTTTAATAAGTTTGAAGTATCTTCAGTCCATTATTTGTTTTTTAAAATAAAATTTTATTATCTACTATGTTTTTCAATTTTTAAACAAATTTTTGAACCAAAAGAAACAATTTTTGAAAGATATGGTCGTAAGTCATTTAAACAATTCACCTCAATTTATACAATAAATCGAGTAATTACATATACGTATTATAACCTCTAGAGTTTTTATAGAGCAATTTAACTACAATAAGATTAAGATAAACTCAGTTGTAATAAATAACATCACATTATCGAAAAAACTCAAAGACATTCAAAGACAAAAGGAGAAAAAAACTATACTCATATGTATAAAAGCCTATCAATATTTTTCCATCGATTCAAAAGAATAAATAATTAAATACAAATGTTATACTTCATAGACAAATTAAAATTAAAAGCAATACTTTTGTTATGCTAATATGTCTTGTGTGTTGTCTTTTGACAAATAATTATCACTTCTAGAACTCTGCACGTAACTGCGACATACATCTATAGGGATATATATTGCCAATATATAGTAAAATAGTCATGTAAGTTTAAAGTTATCTACAGTCAATTGAAAAAATGAGTAATTCAGAACAAAAACCAAGCCAACATTCATTCAATAAAGAATGTCCTCTCTTTATTGAATAAACCAAGTCAACTGAAACCTAGATTTGGTTTCTTCCTCAAATCTAGGTCCTCTTTTTTTTTCCTTCTAAGTTTTTTGTTTACTTTTAAATATAACATATCCGTTTTTCTTACCATTTCAAGCTGTATTCGATGTCAATCTTTATGTCTGCCTCACATTCTCTTACTTGAAGAGACTCGAGCACTATGATTTACTCAGGAACATAATTTTTTTTTTACCATTCTACTCGTTTAGACCTATGAATCGTGCAGTCGCCAACCTTTTCATGCTAACCCCATAAGTAATAGGAGTACTTTGATTTTCTTTAACTATAATATTAAATAAGACTTCTACTTATAAGAATATAGGTAAGAGTTATTAAAATCGCTTTCATACTTGTAGAGTTGGTATGCTTGTAGAATTTTCAATTATAGGTAAGACATGATATCCCAAATAGCTGAATTATCGGAACTCGCTTAAGATTAGAAGTCTATGTAATTAAATTCATATTAGGCAAAGTTTCACACATTATAATTTTATCCAACATGAAATTATTTTGTGAAGAAATAATTTATCTTTCGAAAGATATAAAAGTCAATTAAATTTTGAGGATATTTTTGCCGATCAACTGTTTTTAATATTGTGCTTTTATAATAATAAGAAAAATTATACATTAAAATGCTAAATTTTTAACTCAATTACATAGAACATAAATAAAGTATACAAAAAGTCACCACACAATTATTACGAATCAAATAATGCATGATCACAGAAATTTTACACAAGTACCTACCAATAATTCAAAATTAAAATTATATTAAATAAAATAAAAGTTAATAGGTTATACAAGTTTTGATAGTCAAAGAAAGAGAAGCGGAGAAATTAGAGTGGAAACAGTTGCAACTGAACTGGGAAAGGTTTCAAATTCATAGGGAAATGACCCAAATTCAGGTAGGCAGAAGTTTAGTTGAGTTCAGAGTTCGAAATATTTTGTGAAACTAAATTTATAATTCTATCCAATATGGATTATCGCTTTGAATGAATTTAGCCTTGTAAGGGCATAATAGTCGATTAATATTTTAAGAATTTTTTGTCGTTCAATATTTAGCGTGAAACATTCGTGCTTTTATAATAATTAGTTTCTATAAACGTGTGTTGCACGTAAATTTTTAGCCAGTTAATATTTCGGGAATATTTCAATCGTTCAACATTTAGTGTTTAAAATTCGTACTTTTATAATAATATAGACTAGTTTCTATAAACGTGTGTTGCACGTTAATAATGACATATAAGGGTTTTGTCAATTATATATATAAAGAAATAAAAAATTTATTCTTCACAAAAATTATATATATACATGAAGAAAAAAACAATATATAGAGCAATTGACATGTAAAAATGCAGCAATTATTTAAATTTTGAAAACCAATATTTGGCGTACCACTTGAATTAAAATTGATAGAATATCATCTGAATACAAAAATGATCAATTTAGTCAAGCTAGATAATATTACTATGTACGTATAGTTTAGAAATATACAACATGATCATATCTTACCTACGACTTCTTTATAAACAACATTTTTTGTAGTTTTTCTCTTATGACTGATTGGTTGCTCCATCACAACCCAAAACTCTTACTGTTATTGGTATCTCTCTTGAAAGTGCAATATATTATTGCTCGTGCTAGAAAGCATGTTGCAGCAAATACAATCCATCATTTGGAATTGTTTGACCTTGTGTATTATTATTGCAAAACACAAGCGTACTGAAAATTATTTTTTGATAAATTTTAAGAAGTTAGGTGAAAGTTTAATTGTGGGGATAAATATATGCTTGGAAGCACATCAATCCATCATGATTTTTGCATGTATGATATTATTATCAAAACCTCTATATACCATCACTGTATTACATAAGATACTTGACGGATATAAGTTTCTTAGTAGTATAATGGGTGTATTTTTCTTCAAAATCAGCATATGTCCAATGGAAGATCAAATATGACTTTGTTTGTTCTATGCATACACGACACTGACATATATAATTTTTTTGCTCATTTTGTTTTTTTGATCTCATTTAACATATAAAATAATGAATTTCACAACGAATATCTATGGTGAAAGGCCATTTGGTATTGAGAACGTTTGGCTTTAATCAAGGAACTTGGTAATCAACATCTCATTTAGTTGATCAACATATTTATTTCTGCTAGCTAAGATAGCTCTTTCCTTGATGTACTTTGCACACCTTTCTATTTTATTTAGTGATGAAAATATTTTCCTTATTAAGGAATTTTCACTACTACTATAACCATTGGGCTTGACAACAAAGTATTCCTAAGGAACTACCAAATCATCTTTTATATTAGATACACTTCTTTCCGCTTCCGACATAAATCAAGAAATCACAGAATACTTGATTTAGATTTACTCTCATATTTCTTATTACCCGAATCTTTATCATTTGAGGTCATAAGTATGATTTAACCAAGCCAATACTTATAGTCTCTCTTGCGGAATTTTAAACTATTGGTAGTACTTGACGGAAATTACCTCCAAAAACTATTGCTTTTTCACCAAACGATTTATCAACATCCACTATATCTCTAAAGCTCTTGTAAATTATTCTGACCGTCTAACACCACGCCATGTGCACTTCATCCCATATTATCAACTTTTATTTCCTTATCAATTTAGCACCACCACTATGCTTTGACATATTTGTTATGGGCGTTTCAATTATTTCAAGAGGTATGTCGAATCTAAAGTGAGTCGTACGACCCTCTACACCATTTCATTGACGTTGCTAATATTATCATGCCTCTTGATCTAATATTTACAAATAATGCACGATATAGGAATATATTTTCAGTTCTTCTAGAGCCATCTACAAAAAACAACCTCGTTCTATGAATAATCGATTATTTGTAATATAGTCTTGAAAGTTTATTCTCATTCAGGATTTAGCTTTAATTATGCATTGAAACCTTCCTCAGGCACTTATATGGCCTTTTTTCAATAATCTTTGTGTATTATGATGTANTGTGTGTGTGTGTGTGTACGTACGTGCGCGTGTGTGTATATGTTTTTTTTCTTTTAGATTTTGGATTTAATATTTTCTTCTGTACAGTAGTGATAGCAATAGAGTATAAAGAATATTATATTTGAAAATAGAATAAATTTGAATGGATCAAAAGCCAACAAAATATTACACGTGTGATTGATATCAAAATCGATAAGTTAAAGCAAAGGTAACTTAGCTGATAATATGGCAGGGAGTCTTCTAAAGAAAACAATGAAGCTAAATTAAAAAAAAAAAAAATGGAAGGGACATCCTTCATACATTCATATTAGCACGATTTAGTTTGTTTATACAAGTCTTCATCCATATGTATATTATTTCCAGTTATATTCTTTTCTTGTGAATTCTAACATTAAAAAAAGCTATTTTGGTCCACCAAAAAACATGCATTAAAGCTAGACCAATGATTTTAAACTTTTACGATTAAATTTGAATCCTTGTGGAATTAACTTGAGTGATTAAGGAGCTAAGGAAAATCTTTGGTCCTTTCATTTTGCTTTCACCCAGCTGATTTATTAATATTCAAAGTAGCAAGTTTTTAGCTGAAATTAATTTCTCAAATAAAGGAGAAAATCAAATATAAGAATTTTATCTACACAAGTACTTTTAAGGAATAATTTAATCCTCAGAGGATTATAGAGCGATATCTCATTTTTTGCTTTGGAAAATTGATCAGCTAGAGTTTTTATAAATTTGTGATTCATGTATTCTAGAGAATAGATTATTTAGTATAAAAATTAGTATGTTAAAAAATATTTTTCATATTTTAAATACTCCTATCTTAAGTTTATTTAAACAAAATAATTATTATTCATTTAATTTAAATATAAATTTCTACTAAATTAAATCATTTAAAAGTAAAATGCAAGTACTCTAATTAAGACGATATCGTCCTTATTACAAAAATTATTTAAGACGAGATGGTGCCAAATAAGTAGGAAAAGAGGACTATTCCATTGTTAAACAACCATTAATCTGAACGTGTAAGTATACTAGGAATCACACTCTACAATTTGATTCAAATTTATGAACTTCAAGTTATTAAATTTACTTCCAATGCGACGAAATACACTTATACTACTCGGATTGACACCAAATTTTACGTGTAAGTCTTAAATAACATTGCGGAAATATTCTCGATTTTGGAATTCCGTTCGGACCTCGATATCACAAAACCCGCTCCAAATCAAATTTAAAGAACTTCTAAAATCTTCAAAAACCAACTTTCACTATTATGCGGTAAAACGCTCCCGTGTCATCCAAAACCTGATCCGGATATACGCCCAAGTCCAAAATCATCATACGAACCTATTGGAACCGTCAAATCCGGATTCCGAGGTCGTTTACTCAAAATGTTGACCGAAGTCAAACTTGACCTTTTAAGCCAACCTTAAGGAACCAAGTGTTCCGATTTCAACCCAAACTCTTCCAAATTCCGAACCAACCATTCCCGCAAGTCATAAATCAGTTAAAACAAGTACGAGGAGTCTTATTTAAGAGAACGAGTTTCTAGAAAGCAAAACGACCAGTCGGGTCGTTACAATATTTTCTACACACAAATAACAATAAGAAAAGTTATTAGGAATAGAAACCGAATCTCCTTTTTTGCATCTTTTGTTCTTGTATAAATTATGCTTTTGTTTTCTCATTTTTTTTTTCTTTCAGTGACAACATAATCCAATACTCCTATTAGTCAGGCTTTTATCTGCTAGGACAATACGAGGAGAATTTTTTTATTTTTTGAAAAAAAAGAGAGTTGTAGGCTCTAAAAGTAATAGTAATGAAGGAAAACTTAGTACCATGAAAAGAGATATTTTCTTCTTTTTCATTTTTTAAATTGGGATTAATGAAGTAATTAAGTACATATCAGATAATGTGCTTAATACATGATTTTTGTTTATGGGTAATATGCCAACATAATCTTGCTTAGAATAGCCTAGAAATTCAAAAGTCTAAAAGACAGACTAAATTTCATGAAGTCCTGAAAATAATAAAGGGAAAGAAAAGTTTGTACATAAACGATAAAAGCTTACTAATAAAATGTAAGTATTTGTTACCAATAAAACTATTTAAAAATTATATATATATATATATATATATATATATGTGTGTGTGTGTGTGTGTGTGTGTGTGTGTGTGTGTGTATTTTTTTTCTTTTAGATTTTGGATTTAATATTTTCTTCGTACAATAATGATAGCAATAGAGTATATATTTGAAAATAGAATAAATTTTTAAATACTCATATCTTAAGTTTATTTAAACAAAATAAATTATTATCCATTTAATTTCTACTAAATTAAATCATTTAAAAGTAAAATGCATGTACTCTAATTAAGACTATATCGTCGTTATTACAAAAATTATTTAAGACGAGATGGTGCCAAATAAGTAGGAAAAGAGGACTATTCCGTTGTTAAACAATCATTAATCTGAACGGGTAAGTATATATACACAATTGCTTTTCAGTTTTCACCTTATATCCAAAACCCTCTAAAACCGTTTTCCTCTCTTCTCTGTCCAAATCCTCAGTTCTTCGTGTCGATCACAAAGGCCTTTCTTCATCTTCAACCTCCGGCCACTTCCCAGCTAAAATGCCGCCGTCTAAAGGCAAAGGAAAGGGGAAGAAGAAAGGTAAATCCAAGAAAACAAAAAACAGAGCTCCAGACGCAACATGCAACTGCATTTTACTAAGAGAAATCATCATTGATATCCTTTCTCGTCTCCCAGTGAAGACCCTTTTACAATTCAGGTGCGTTTGCAAGCCATGGCGAAAACTCATTACCAAACCCAACTTCATTGACGCCCATTTCCTCCATTCCTCTTCTTTGCAGCCCAGTACCGGTTCTTCACCCATTCTTTTACACACTCGCCATCCCGAGTCCTCTGATCATCTACTCTCACTAATCAACATGTCCCCCGAGTCATCATCAGTTGTGGAACTTGATAACCCTTTCCCTTTTTTCTTGCAAAATATGGTGGTTGTGGGTTCTTGCAATGGCATTGTGTGCCTTTGTCAGACACCTTTGGGTGATGCCATTATTCTTTGGAACCCAGCTATGAGGCAGTCTAGGAATGTGCCGCTTTCGAAAAGCAAACCCATTATTGGAACGCAATCTTGTGTTTCCATCGGATTGGCGTACGATTCACAAAAGAATGACTTCTTGGTCTTGAGTATTCAGAGTTTCGGACCAGAAACTATGATTGCGGATGAAGTGGAAATGTTTTCAACCAAGAGTTTCAGCTGGAAGAGGGTGCCAAATGAGATGGGGTTTCGAGTTCTTGGGCTTTCTTGCAATCTGATTATTAAAGGGGTGCCTTATTGGACTGCTCTGCTTTCGGATGCGCATGGGTCACGTGAGGTATTGGTGTGTTTTGATGTGAGCAAGAAAATATTTGACAAGTTACCTATGCCTGGAGTGAGACTGGGGATTCAGGGGTATCTTGTGAATTTGGAGGATTCTCTTGGTATATTAATGTGGGATAAAACAGACAAATGTAATGTTGATATTTGGGTAATGGATGATGAAGATGGTTGGAGCAAGAAATGCAATGTTGAAATGTTATTCGGGTTCGACAGAATTATTGGCTGTTTGAGGAATGGTAACATTGTTGCTGAGGATGAGAATGGCGTGTTGTTCCTCTTTGATCCGGTGACTAATTCTGTTAAGGCAAAATTGTGCATCGATAATGCTAATAGCGGTTCGTTCATGATTTCCAACTATTCAGAGAGCTTAGTTCTGATTGAAGGGATGCGACCAGTTAAGAAGCAAGCTGCTCGAGATAAATTAGCACGGTGATCAACTTTTGTCTTTTCAATTATATCTTAATTAGTTACTATGTGCTTGCTTTGTGTTGATTGTCACGTCTGATCCCACTTTGAGATGTTGCACTTTTGCTTTGTTCTTATCCTTATGTGCTTATGTGTATGTTATGGGCACTTGGTGAAACAAAGCAGATTGACTGTGAATCTGTGATGCATTAGTTTACTACGTGAACTAACTCTGTGATCGTTTTTACTTAACTCTACGCAATTAGTGGAGATGTTTTTCAGTTGCTGCTGTGGTTCTGGAAAGCAAATATGGCCAACTAACAAGTTTTCTTTTCATCTCCCATCTAAGAAAGTGTATTTTTGTAAATAGCTTTGTGGTGTGGAATCAGTCACAATATAAATGTCTCTCACTGTATGCACTTTCCCAGTCCACTTCTATGGTTACTCAGCCAAACAACTTCTGGATTACTAGTTGAAATTGGCGGAAATAAGGGGAATAAATAGAGATGCCACATGATATTGCAACTCAAAATAAGAGAAACTTTCTTTTAGGGTGGCTTACATGTGCACATAGAAGTATGAAAGAAGAGCTAAAATGCTTCCTTTTCGAGTCCCACTTGAAAACTATTTTCTTCCTTTCATGTCTTTCATAGTGGGAATTGTTTGAAAAGATGTAGGCTTGGCTTCAAAGATGCATCGTGCGTGTCGTGTCGAGAGTGTTTCCAGAAGATCTCAACTTCCTGTTCACCCCATTTATTTTCTGACAATACAAGATCTTCCTTTTTGTCAACCGAAACATTTAAATGATCAGAGAAACTTTTCAGCTTTCGTTTTGTTTGCTTGTTGGAGCATCAGTTGTGTTGAGGTCTATATCCAATGACTTCATTATGAAGAGACAACTAGGTCAATAGACATAGTAATATGATTGCTAGATCCTTGAAGTTATATATCTATCTGCAGATATAAATTTCTATTTGTTGACACTGTAAAACTCTGAGATAGTTTGTTCCATAAGCATTATACCAATTACTTGTAAGAAAGAGCAGAAAAACATAGTTTTACTGAAATAATGCATTTGGATTGCTGGATCGCTCTAACTAACAGAACCAAGTCTTCAAAAGAAAAGAAAAAACTAATAAAACCATGTCCTATTGGTGATTGCAACAGTTCTGTTACCTATCTAGTCAATCAAGCCAGAGGTTTTGCGCTTTCTGTTTCTGGTGCTCTTTTTCTTGTTTTTGGTGAGTGTTTTCCAAAAAATTCTTCATTCCTGATCCATGAACTTTTATAATTGAATATGCAAGTACAGATGTTAGTCTTATAGATGTTAGTGTTGATAAACTAAAGCTTATTATCAATGGAAGGCTTGGCTACTTGTGTCATTGCTAATCCATATTGGACGAGTGTGCACTCTCTTAATGTAGTGCGACACATCCATATCTTTGCTTTTGATAGCTCAAAGATATAGCTTAAGTTTGACAGCTAGTGTAAGAGGTCCTCTCTTCATATGAAAGAATCTTCTTTTCATTTAATTATTTGCTCCTTCAAGTTGCAATCTTTCGGCCTTCTCACCTTGAATTTCCAGTATTGTGTTCCAATTGCTTATAAACTTCGTAGTCTTGCTATCCCGTCCTCGTCTTTCCTCCTTGGTTGACTTGTGTCTTGCAGTCTTTAATAAATGAATTGACTTGTAGTTACTTTGGGATCTTATTCTAGACATAATATTCTAAGCTATTTGGTGCATGGCATAGCAGAGGTGCTTCTGTTTGAAATATAATTTTGATTCTCTTGAAAGTATTAGGTTTATGTATTACTAGCAAATTAGCATTATGCATTGGACATTTAGAATTTCTGGATACATTATCTTTTAAATCTTTGCTAGTACGTTTAGTGGAACATTTTTGTCTTTGTATATCTTTGGAGTATTTTTGATATTGAACTAGTGTGCGGGATTTCTCTCTCAAATCAATATAATGTTGACTTGACAAGATTATATATTCGAAGAAACTTACTGACATTATTTTTCTTGATAATGTAGGGCTGGCATGAATATAAAGTTCACTACCACTTGACCCTCAGAAGCTTGACTTGGCTATATAGGATTGCATAAAAGACATTTTGGCTGCCCCTTTTTGCTAACATCGGAGATGGCATGAAAAACTTTTTGACATACTTTTAGTTAGGAAATACTAGCAATGTGTGTAGTTCTTGGTCCCTCTCATGTTCATATTACAGCATTAGCTACTTTGTATAAGATTGTCAACTATTTTGCACTGATCAACTTGTGCTTGAGTAAGCAATGGTGGGTTTATGTTTGCGTCTAATATGCTCAAGTTATCTTTTTTGCTTCATTAGGTCTTTCAGTGTGTTCCACGTGAGTGTCTTCACTCAATTTTTGTTCCTTCCCATAAGTAATTTTCTTTTTGATTCATAATTCTTTCCAAATGTGGGCTGTGGTGCGACTTGAATGTTCCTTTTGGTTTATAATTCTTTGCATATGTGGACTCTGGTGCGACTTAAATTGCTTTTTTAAATAGAAAGTGTTTTAAGAAAGAAAATAATACTTTTGATGTATAAACTAAAATGTATATAACATACCAAAAGTTCACTTAGGGGTCGTTTGGTTTGAATACGGCTTATGCCGGGATAAGTTATGCTAGGATTAGTTATGTTAAGATTAATTATTCTGATATTGTTTTTTATCTATTGTTTGGTATGTTGTATTAAATGACAATTGCATAATTTCTAAAAAGAAAGTATAAGTTATCCCGACACTAATTATCCCAACCTCTACAAGGCATAAGTTATCCCGGTACTAATTTTAATTCCCAGAAAATTTATACCAGGTTTGCTAACCAAACAAAATATTAAGGTGGTATTAATTTGTATATCAGCACTATACCTTCTTATACCTCATACCAAACCATCCCTCAATATGTTGTGGGCATATAGATGTCATGTCATTCACTAAAACTAAGATAGTTTTGAAATAGAGAAAGGTGTTTATCGGATTAAAAAGAAAGTCGTGTCATGTAAAATGAAACAAAAAAAATTCCATATGTTTAAATTTATTTGAAGCTATTTTTTTTGTCTGTTCTTAAAAGAATGATCCCTTTCTAAATTTGAAAATAATTTGGCTTAAACTTTCAATTTTATCCTTAATGGAAAGTTTTTATGACCACACAAATAATCTGGATCTTTTTTGACTTGTTTAGACCAACAAATTCAAAAGGTCTTTTTTTAAAAAAAAAAAATTATGCCCAATCAAACAGGTTCACATAAATTTTAGAATGGAGCTGAGTATATTGTAAAGCCTAAGTCATTGATCAACCAAATCTCGTGTTAACCTTACAAATTAATATAATGACAGTGTTACTAAATAAATTGTCTCAGTTGATTATATTTTAGTCAGGTACAAACCTCATCACGTGTGAACAACCTGGGTTAGATGAGAATAACAGCAATCGTAAATTTGATAAATATAAACTTGTACAAGACAAATTTTTATATCCACGCGTTGGCGTGAAACTTACCAGCTAAGCCAAGCTGGAATATATATCAGCGAACCGTCAGCGCACCACAAATCGAAGACCGCAAAATCGCCGATCACACCGGCACGACGATCTGATTCTATCAATTGGCGTCAGCAATAATACGACTTCGCTTTGATCCCGAAACCCTAACCCGTTGCTCGATCTCTATCTCTATCTCGGTGGAAAGGATGAGTGAAGAAGGCGGGAAAAACAGGGCCTCTCCGGCCACCGGCGAACCGTTGCCGCCAAACTATTACTACGGTACGTTTCAAGGAGTGGCCAATCATCCGCCTCCTCCTCCTCCACAGTCTCAGCCGGTGTTTGGTTTTCCTCAGCCCATTCCTCCGCCTGGTGCCTCCGGCGCTCCTCCTCATTACTATCCTCATGGTTATCAAACTGTTCCCGGTGTGTTTTTCCACACTTTCATCTATCTACTGGTGCTTCCATAATTTTTTCTTTTATGTTTGTTGATAATTCTGTTAGTTTCTCTGTTTTGAACATTTAATGGAATAAAATCTCAGTGTGATGCTTGATGAATATTCAGAATACTGATTGCCGAACTAGCCAATTCTATTAAAGGGTCTAGTGTGAAACATTAATGTTGATACCAGCAATATTATTCTCAATTTTTGTATCTTTGTAACACAGGTTTATTGTGATAGGATGCAGATACTTTCAATTATAAAAAAGTCAGTATTTTGTGCATAATTTCATCTGTAAATTCATCTATAACTTTGTAGGTTGATTAACTCCTTGTTTTTAAGTATTTATATTTGTAGTCTCGACAAATCTGCAGATTTGTGGATTTAAGTTTTATATCCGGTTGAACATCTAGTGGTGGAGAGTGATCATGTTGTATTGGAGGATGTAGTGAAAGGAATTTCGCAATCGGGTTCTCTGAGTTTCTCTGTTAGTTTTTTGTTAGTAATAGGAGTGATCATGGAAGGATTGATTGATATTAACTGTTGAAAGGCTTCTTTTTCCTTCAATCATGCTATTTCGATTTTCCTTCTTAGCATATTTAAAGGAGAAATTTTCATAAAACACTATCTTTTAGTAGTAATTAGCCATTTATAGATACCATTTGCTATATTACAGGTTATAGATACCTTTTTTGTGGTTATAAGATGTATTTGATGTATTTAAGCTATTATATTCATGAATACAGTAGCAAAAATAGGCGTGAATCAGGGAAGTCCAGCTAATCAGTTGTTGTATTCGAGTGTATTCGACTGTATTCATGGAGTGAAACATGGGATTACAGCTGGACAGATTATTGTATTCGACTGTATTCATGGCGTGAAATAGGGGATTACACTATTTTTAAAATGGAAAGTGAATCAATTAATATAATAGACTCCTAATATAACTCAACAAACTCAATTATAACACACAAAATTTGTATTTTCAGTTATAAAAAAGATTCTCGCCCAAAAAATACCCCAAAAGCATAGAAATATTCAGAGAAATTATATAATACATCTGAAAACATAATTATATTAATTAAAAAAAACTTATGAATACATTCATGGCATATAGCGAGATAGTGAATATGATGAAATACATGGAATATAGCGGGATACATTGAAATACAATAAAAAAATAAGATAAAGAATACAATAAAATACATGGAATACAGCGAGATACATTGAATTACAATGAAAAAAAAAAAGAAAATGAATACAATGAAAATCATGAAAATACAACGTAATACGCTGAAATTACATTGAAATATATTATTGTTCCATTTGTGAAATGAGATCCAATGGTTTCTTGACTAACTCTTTGACAATCTAGAGCAATTAGATCAGCTTGTTCTGCATCTTTGAGACGTTTTGATGCACCTCCAATAGGTAATATACTGCTCTCTAGTATGCTTTTTACGTCGTATCGGTTTATTTCAAAGTTAGTTATTGCATTTAGTCCATGGAATTTTATTGCTGCAATGTCATAAGCCGCCGCCAACTCCTGTACTGCAGTTCAATTCCAGAAGAAGACAAAGCAAAAAAGAATGAAAAAAAGTTGATTAGCGTATAAAGGGAGGGGAAAGTGGGAAGGGATAGAAAGAAAATCGGTGGAAGGAGGAGGAGATTGGAAATTTTAATGGGATGGGGGAAGAGAATGGGATGTATCAAAGTAGAGAGAGAAAGAAAATAGTGTAACTGATTAGCGTATTTAGTGGCTTAGAGCTAGGAGGTAACCAAAATTAAATATTTTGCTATAAACCTTAAAAGGTATCTATAGAATATAATTTTTTTAAATGGTATTTATTTAAAATAAATAAGGTGTTAACCTTTGCTATGTGAGGTAAAAATTCCTATTTAAAGCTTGTTGAATCCTTAATCAATGGATTCTGACTTTAGATTTTATATGTGTGATTGCCAACTTTCTTGAAGCAATCAGAAGTTGTAAAAGTGGAGTTGAAATGTCATGGTTAACTTACACGTGAAAGAATGTTAAACTAGTTACATATCTTGTCTCTGAAAATTTCGGGAATTGCAATATAGAAAATGCTTTCTAAATCTTATTGTTCTAACTGGGCTGAACAACAGATATTTGCTGTTCAAAAATTATTTTAATGTTAGATGTTATGTACCATGTTTAATATGTTGCTTCACTATGGTTTAGGTTATGCTGTTGCCGAAGGTAGACCTGTAAGGGAGTACCGGCTTCCTTGCTGTGGCATGGGGATTGGCTGGTTCTTGTAAGTTCCTATTGTTGTACTTTCTCTTGGGCTCATTTTTTAGTTTTCGTTATATATCGTGGTTAGATTGATAAAAAGTGATACATGGAATCCTGCTCAGCTTTTCTTATTATTTAGAGCTTTCCCATTATCGTATTCAGAGTCTTAAATATTTTTTAAAAATAAAGATGGGTAGGTTAGATGTTGGGGAAACAATGTAGGCACACAAAATTATTCTTTCCCCGGAACAGCAGCAGAAAGAGTGAACTTGCCCAGCGAGGGCCGAGACCAATGCTATCAATAAGCCGGAACAGCAATATCAAAAACCTGATGTGATGGTTGCTAAGGGCTTTGCCTTTTTCTGGTGTTTCTATGACCAGATTTTCATAAACTCAATTTTATGATTCATGTAAGATTGACTAAGAGGGTGTTTGGCTAAGCTTATAAGCTGGTCAAACTGGCTTATAAGCACTTTTTGGCTTATTTACGTGTTTGGTAAAAGTAAAAGTGTTTATAAGTTAAGTGCTTATAAGCTAAAAATAAGCCAAAAGCCATAAGTTGGTCTCCCCCAACTTATCAAATTTCAGCTTATAAGTACTTTAGGTTTGACCAAAATATGTACTATTCTATCCCTAAAATACTTCTTTTTAAAACAGAACTTTTCGTATACCCAGTTCTTCAGCTGCTTATTATTAATTTCAGCACTTTTATCCAAACGCGTAACTGTTTATTTTTTAAATGAGCACCTAATGCTTATCAACTATTCTAAATCAGCCAAGCCAAACGGGCTCTAAAGATTTCAATGCTGGCTTACTTTCTAATATTTTGGTGACTTTGTTTGCAAGGTTCATCTCTGGTTTCTTTCTTGGTACCGTTCCTTGGTATATTGGAGCTTTTCTTCTTCTGTGTGTGCGGATTGATTACAGAGAGAAGCCTGGACTTATAGCATGCACATTGGGGGTAAGTTTCTCTCTCTCACACACACACACAAAAAAAAATGTGCAGATGCTTTATATGCTTTGTTTTCTCCAAGCATAGCTATGTTTACCTCACACTTCTATTACTGGTCTAAACATGTCACAAGTACCATTCTATGCACTGGCATAATGGGTGATCTTAAAACTGGCTTTTCTTTAACTTGTACCATAACTCTCCGTGATATTTTACCAAAATTCTGTAGTCTGACAAAGAGAAAAGGAAGAATATGATTATGAAGAGAAAAGGATATGGAATATGGTTACCAAGAGAAGAAAGGGAAAAAGAACAATTGAAGCTGCCTTATCTCCTTTGTTGGTCTAGTAAGTCCTCCCATTTGGGGATGAACAATGTGTAGTGGCAGCCATAGCATAGTAGGCGTTTGGAATATTTGGTTGAAGTTGGATAAAGGAGTATCTGCAGTTGTATAAAATGGAATAGAGGGTGTATTTTTTTATTTTTTTTTATGAAGAATGGAACAGAGGGAGTAATAAAATTTGGTTTTGGCAGCTATAAATTTGGAAAAAGAATAAACACTCTTGTACGTCCAGTATATGTGGACTTGATATTGGATAACTATATTTATTACACCATGTAAGTGCTTACCATGGATTTTACCTCATTTGACTTAGATATCCCTTTTCTATTGCTATTTACCTTATTCTAGAGAAGGCATAAATGTATATTATAGCTTGGATTTCTATGAGCATATATTAGAGGAACATTAGAAGGATTGAGCTATTAGACTAGGTTGAGAAGTGGATTAAATTTGTGTAACCAATTGTAAAACCAACCACTTTTAAGCACCTCTTTTTTGGCCCAATTGCTTTTAGCCCTTTTCATGTCGACATGTTTTCAATCTGCTAGATTTAGCCGAATCATCAAATCACTGTTCCTTTCTGCCTCCAAGGAAGCATGTCTTAAAAATTACTATTCAACAATAACCTTTATTTTCGGTGCTGTCAAAATCCTAATCTAACTCTTGCATGAGCTTTTGGCTTTACATATTTATTATGTAACATTTCCTTCTAGTGCCGACTGGTATTCAGCAAAGCTCGGGCTAGTTCCTTTAAAGAGGTCTTCTGTTTATCTTGTTCAGTCTTATTCTGATCGTGGATTTGAATCCAAGTAATGTGCAGTTTAGTTCCTCCAATTTTAAATTGGTCTGAATTCTTAGGTGACCCTTAAAAGCCTTCCATGTAAGCAAATAAGCAGTCCTGCACTGGTACTCTTGTACACTTTGTTGCTCTGCTGAATACTTTAGTAATCTGTTTTATGGTTGCAGTTAGCGAGTTTTTGGCCAAAATTGTCCCTTATCTATGAGGGTAGGTCCATTTTTGTCCCTTAAATATAACCCTGAGCATCTTTAATCCCTCAAGTTTGCTAAACTAGAGCACTTTTAGTCTCACTAACATAATCCATTTAAAACTTGACAGATAAATCCATCACTAAAAAAGGTCATTCTCAGTTTTTCTCCAATTCTGGGTCCTCATGATCTAAAGCCAGCATACATATTGCTTGATCGTAATTTTTTATAGTCAAATTGGTCTGGCCTATCAACCATGGGAAAACTTTGCTAAATACTTCTGACTCCTCGTGATCTAAACCATGGGAATTACCCTGCATTATCCACTATTTACAAAGATACAGGTCCTTTGGGAACACTTTGCTACATGGACCCTAAGAACCAAATAACGAATTGATCTCTCCAAAATCTGACATTTATGCGCTTGGGATGGTTCTCCAACTCTCCTTGTAGTTGTTAACGGCAAAAGGCAGCAATGTAACTTCTCTACATTGTTGAAATAGCAATCAATTAGGATAGTCTAACTAAGGTACTAGGTCCATAGGGTGGTAAATGGCCATTAGAAGAGACAAAAAAATTAGCAATGCTAGCACTTAGGTGTACAGAGCTTTGTCAACGAGACAAGTCCGATTTGAAAGAGGAAACTCTCCCTGCATTGGAGAAATTGAAAGAAGTTGCTGATAAGGCTCGAGATTCTGCGTCAAGTTGATGCCGTCAACTACCCAGCCTCCTCCTCTTACCTACTACTTATGTTCTTTACTATTTGGTGATCGGCAATGACTTTTCTTTTTTGGTGAAATAGGGAATTGCCTTTTCTTTACTGCTAGTTTTATTCTTTTTCAGTGTCACATGAATAGCACATGGATAGCACCGTTAAGTTTTAAACGAATTCTGTTAATGAGACTAAAAGTGCTCTAGTTTAGCAAACTTGAGGGATTAAAGATGCTCAGGGTTATATTTAAGGGACAAAAATAGATCTAACCTCATCGATAAGGGACAATCTTGGCCAAAAACTATGCAATTAGTCAAGCATATCTTTACTATTTACAGGTTAAAAGCTCTATTTAGTAATGCCTAGCTTGAGTTTTAAGAAGGAAAAATATACGAAGGAATAATATACGAGGAGTTGATGTATGCTCATTTATCTGCTACAAAGATACTTTACGCCTTCCCTCTTTTGTTTGGATTTGGAGGTAGATGGGGATGGAGGAGGGGAAGGAAACAAATAGGGGGGTAGATAAGTTCATGGATAGATGAGTGCTTGTTATTACTGCCCGAAGCAATTGTAGCTATGCACTCATTGGTTTACTGATTTCTGCAGTACTGAATGGAAGCAAAGTATCAGCATTGTCACTCCATTACTTTATTTTTTCTCGATTTCTTTGCTGTGACAATGTCAGCCTCTGACTATGTTTATCTTTTTGATAATCAGGCCATGCTTGCTTTAATTGCTGTGACTTTTGGTGTGACAAAGGCAACTCATTCCTGGTGNGGGGCAGAGAGCAACTTTATCGATTGATTTTTGTTTGTAAGATGTCTCTCTTTTTCAATATGTATAGCAATTATTGACTTGGATGGTTCTTATATTGAACGTACACTTGCTTTATTAATGTTTGTGGTACTTCTTGGTATGCTCCAGCAGTAAATGTGATGTATATTTTTGAAACTTCCCCAACATAAAACAAATTGGATGTGTGTTCAGTCTGTAGAATTTGGCTGCTCCATTCGGAAGACATTAACAATTTCAATCACTGTTGGAGGATTTGGCTTATGGAATACATATATATAATAAAACATATGCGTCAGACTCCAGATATGAACTAGTTTGTTGGTTAAGTCTTATCCTTGAAGCACTCTCCATAGAGCTTTTCAAAAACGCAAGTGTGGCAGAAGGTTCCAAAAAGTAACATCGATATCTCAATTGCACCTATTATCATATCTTGGCAGTTGGGTCATTTACTTCGACGTGAATTAGTCCTCGACAAAGCATATGACGGGGGGAGTTATCTTAGCTAGCAAAAATAATTGTGTTCATCGACTAAATAAGATCATACTAACGACTACTACAAGGAAGAATACAAATTTTATCACCACGAAGGTTCGTTGTCAAGTTCAATATTTTGTATGTATGTACGTATCATGTAAGTATATAATAAACAAAGTGAAAATTGATATTCCATTGTGCAGAAGCGGATCCATGATTTAAATTTTCTGGATTCAATTTTAAAGTTTTTAGTTTTGAACCTATTATATTTTCAAAGTTATGGGTTCAAATCTACTATTTTTGCAATTTTAATAAAATTTTACTCAGCGTCGAAAGTTATAGGTTCAGTTGAACCCGTTGGTAATATACTACATCCGCCTCTGTCATTGTGTACATGTTGGTATTAAAGAAACATATGCACATCAATGCTATTGAGAAATTTAGATACGTCAAATGACTTATATAATGATACAAGAATAGTATGTGGAGATTTTGATAATAAAATTGTATATGCATAAATTAGATGGGTCAATTTGCTTCCAAGCATGTGTTTATCTCCAGAATTTAATTTTTGCCTTCAAAATGAATGATATTCTCTTGAATTTATTCAAAAATAATAAATAAAATACAAGGCCAAACAATCATAAATGTTGGACTATATATTGCCACAATATGCTTTCTTGTACGGATAATTTTATGTTACACTTTCAAGGGGTATCAATATTGACAACAATAGCTCTGATCATGATGGAGCAGCCAAAATATTAGAAGAGAACATATACAAAAGAAAAACGTCTATAAAGAAGTATTAGGTAAGATATGATTACATTGCATATTTCCAAACTATAAGTACATAATTATATTATCTAGCTTAGCTAAGTTGATCATTTTTTAGGTTCATACGATATCCAATCATTTTGAATTCAAGGATTATGCTAGTGTAATAACATTGATTTCCAGCATTTAAATGATTGTTTGCCATGCTGCATTTGTACCTGGCAGAGCCATAATTGACAATATTATCCTAACCATGAACTAGTGAAAGGATATGGGAGAAAAGATGCATGATCAAAATTGACATGCAAAAAGCTTATGACTCTATAAAATGGGTTTTTTTAGAACAAGTTCTGAATGCTTTAAATTTTTCAAAAATATTTGTCAGGTGGATCATGGTATATGTATCGACTGTCTCATACTCTATAGTTATCAATGCTCAACTAAGTGCCCCTTCTACTGCAAAAAGAGGAGTGAGACAGGGTGATCCCTTATCACCATCTTATTTGTTATAGCCATGGAGTACCTTAGTAGACTACTGAAAACTTTGAAAGATAATCCAGACTTTAACTATTACCCTAGATGCGACTAGCTGAATGTAATACAGTTGGAGTTTGCAGATGACTTATTGCTGTTATGTAGAGGATATGTGGTCTCTACTAGGCTACTGTGTAATTGCTTTCACCAATTCTCCTTGGCATATGGTTTGGTGGCCAATTAAGAAAAGAGTGTTGTCTATTTTGGGGTGTGCCAGACCAAATTCAGCATGAAATAATAAAAGAGGTAGGCTTCTCTGTTGGCTCTCTCCCTTTCAGGTACCTGGAAATCCCATGGAGCTCAAAAAGGCTAGTAGTTGTGCAATGTCAACCACTGCTAGAAAAGATGATAGGGAAAGTAACCTCCTGGATTGCCAAGTTCCTATCCTATGCAGGTAGATTATAGCTGATCAGAAGTGTACTTACAGCCATCCAACAAACTGGTCTCAAATATTCATCTTGCCCAAGAATGTGATTCAGAGGATTGAACAAGTGTGTAGGATATTTCTATGGAATGGAAATAATGAATGCTCAAGGAAGGCATTAATATCTTGGGACAAACTTTGCGTGCCAAAATCAGTAGGTGGTCTCAACATAACAGACATATACACATGGAATAAAGCTACCATACTTAAGCACAACTGGAACCTATATAAGATAAAGGATAAGCTCTAGATACAATGGGTGCATATCTACTATAGTAAGAGTAATCAAGTCTAAAAAATAACTGTTGTGCAAGCATCTTGGTTTATTCAGAAGATCCCAAATGCTAAACTATATCTGGAGAATACAGGATTAACTATTGAGGACTTTCTGAACCCTGAGACATATGCTATAAAGACAATGTACAACAACTTGAGAGATAAATATCCTAAAGTACATTGGATGAAGTTAATATGCAACAACCAGGTCAGCGCCAAATGGTTGTTTATCCTCTACCTTGTAATACAAGACAGACTATACACGAGAACTAGATTGTAGAAATGGGGCATGGATAATGGCATAGCCTGTCCATTGTGTGATAATGCTGATGAGAACGTGCAACACGTGTTCTTCAAGTATCAAATTACCTCTCAGGTTTGACAGCAGGTTCTCCGGTGGCAGGGAATTAACCGACAGGCTATATGATGGCAGGAAGAAATTGATTGGGTTAAAACACATGCCTATGGCAACAATGCAAAATTGAAGATATACCGTATGGCCCTCGCAAGAAGTGTTTATTATACTTGGCTGGAAAACAACAACAAAATCTTCTAAAGAAACAAACTAGCATTAACTGTGGTGAGACAGATCATTCAAGACATACATTGCAGAGGTGGAAAGAGGAAGATATTGGCAATGCAGTTGAAGAAGCTTGATTATTACCCTAGTAGGAAGACGTAACCTAGTTTTGCAATTTTCTATCTTCTTGTATCTGGCTGTAATATGTCCTTGGTAATTGATCACGTCCAACTCTAGTCCTAAAAGGATAAGCGGTTGCTGCAGATATAATTCGGTCTAAAAGTTCGGAGTCGAATCTCTCAGAGAACTAAGGTTTCACTATAACTGTTCAATGTCACTCGGAAGACAAGATCGAATAATTCCTAAGTTATAATATTAAGATTTTTATGTATAACTAATTAGCTAACAAATTAAAGAAGTAAATTAAAAACTAGGGATACTAAAGGTTGGAGAAAAGATTAGGAGGTCTAGAGTTATGATTTCCTCAATTGTCGGAATCCTTCTCGCTACGTCTTCTATAATTTTGCCTAAGTATTTTCTACTGACCGTGAGTACTTCTGGTGTCGTAATTCTCTATCAAGCAACTACCACAGTATACTAGATATATTCTCATGAACTACGCTAGCTGGCACTAATTCACCGCTCACTACGATCGCACCAAGGTTTTGTTATCTCTAATCCTACCTTGAAACCCTCCATATTGATCTCTCACACACGTTAGGAGTGATATTTTTCAACAACTACCTAAATATGTACCCTCTCTCAAGTAATACACACTAAATAGGCACAGTCAATTGATGTCCATTCAATCAATATTAATAAACACGTAGTTGAACAAGCAGAGAAATTCAGCGGCTCAATTATATAAAAACATAATAAGAATTTATCCTACAAAAGGTTCTATCAAAACTCTAGATAACAAGTTAGATATTTATAATAGTATGTATAATCACAATAGTAGAATTCATAACCGATAATGGAAATAGGAAGAAGGAACTGAAAAACTCGTAGAAGAATTCTCCGCCTTGCTCGTAATGTGTTCTTACCTCCTTAGGTCGAAATTGTGTCCAAAAGTGTGTCAAAAGTCCTCAAAATAGCATTTTTACATGTATTTATACCAAGTAGAGTCGGCCCCGGACGAAACACCTTTTCCTATGCGAAATAGGACTCTGGCTCTGTAAAATTTATACAGGCGCGCCGCATGGGGCGACGCACCACGCGGTGTGCTTGTGGGGGACTTCAGCGAGCATGCAATTTGAGGGCAACAGTAATTTACATAGCCGCGGCGATCTATGCGGCACTTCATGCGGTGCGACTGTAAAAATTTGGAAAAATGTAAAACATAAAAGTTGTATCCCTTTTAAATATCTTTCCAATGATATATTATGGAGCCCAAACGGATTTCTGAGCAAAAACATATGCGTATTTTACTGGACAATGTGCAGTATGCCTACTCGATTCTTCGTTTCATTCTCAAAGTGCACTATCATCCGTTGATCCCCGAACACGATCCCAACTTAATCCTTCGGCTTTTACTCAGACTTCAAAGCTCCAGAATAACTTGAATTCATTCCATAATATCTACATAGATTGGAATCACTCCTACAGGCATAAAACACACATTTAGTGCAAAACACTAGCGATTAAAGCTCAAACTCAAATAAAGTGCAGTAATTTAGAGTGTAATAAGCGACTAAAATACGTAATTATAGAATATCATAAACACTCCACACTTAAATCATTGCTCGTCCTCGAGCAATCAAACTACACTTTATATAGACACGACCTTTTTAAATAATTCTCCTAACTCATCACACCAAGACTATTTAAAATAGTCTAAGCACAATAGCGTAATATCTTCACCTCAAGATTTGACTCATAAGTACCACACATTATTCACAACTCACTCACCTACTCTAACATAGAGGTCACTGATACTACCTTTCCTTCATGCATCAAGTGCCCTCACACAACAAAAGAGAGTAGTTCCACACAATAAAATTTAATAACACTTATGAACTCAAGATAGAAAAAATTCACTCACTCTCAAAAATAATATTCATATGCCACAAAAGATGCACCATAAGTTTGCCCGTAGTGTACTACTCTACTAATCAAGCTCATTTAGTCTAGGATCAAGAAGGAGTTTAATTGGTTGTAATGTAGG